CTTATTATTTAGATTATTTTTGGTACATAAGACAACATACAAAGCTCATACAAAACAGATGCCCTTAGGTACTCATATTACAATTGCAGCACATCAACAAAATGACACTGTAACCATACACTGAAATGACATGCAGCAAAATTATTTAATGATTTAACTATTAAGAGAGGCAAACAGGGGTTAGAGAGATGCTCAGTCGTTAGGAGCACTGGTTGCTCTTGCAGAAGACCCAGGTTCGGTTCCCAGGACCCATATGGCAGCTAGCAAACCTCAGTAACTCCAGGGGATCCGATGCCCTCTTCTGTCCATCTGAAGCACTGCATGACAGGGGTGCACTTACATTCTTGCAGGCAAAATATTCATATAAATAAAAAATAAATAAAATAATAAATAAATAAATAAATATTTCTAATTTTTGTCTTTTTGGTTGTAAGCCTGAGTCTTTAATGGCTATACTGTCTCTCCAACCCATATTTCTTATTTTTGAAAAAAGAGTAATAATGAATTAACTACTTTTCTTTCTAGTTAAGGAAACCTGATTGCAGATCTGACACCTGGTCTTTTTCAGTCTATTTCTGCATTCTTTTCCTTCCCAAATCTGTGTATTAAGAATTGACATTTAACTTCATTTCTTGGTACTTGCTACTTCATTTACCTGAGTTCTATACATGATAATGGTAATACAACTCTGTACCAAATACTGATATTTTATAAGTTTATATATTTTTGTAACGTCAGGCAATGAATGCTGAGACATGGCTTTCAGGATTTACTTTTTTCAGTATCTCTTATGATCTTCCCACCCTAAAATTTGAAAGAGCTACCAATGTGCAGGACTTGCATGTGTGCATGGGAGAAAGTAACACTGACATTTCAAAGTTACACACATTGTTGTGAATACTTGAAAATAAACTGAGCTATAATAGCTAGTTTTTGTTTGGGGTGATTTAAAAAAAGTTTTGGAAAGGTGTTAATGGTTGTACAATGCTGTACATGTACTTAAAATGGCTTAAGTTGGTAATGTCATATATACATTTTATAATTAAAAAAATTTTTAATAAACTAAAAGTCACAAAATTATATAACTTAAATGGATGAAACATATGGTATATGAATCATATCTCAATAAACTGTAAAAAATAACTTTATTAGATCTAAAACATATGTATCTACCTTACTGAAGAATATGGAGTATTGGTAATTTACTGTATGTGGAAAAAGACTAAGATGAAAATTCATAAAAAGCTGAGGGGAAAATGCTGCCAGATATACTATCATCTTGTCTCCTTATCAGGTAGCCTTTTTTAGAATTTATATATGGGAGAAAAAAGCATAGAAAAATGATTCCTGGGGCTGGAGAGATGGCTCAGTGGTTAAGAGCACTGACTGCTCTTGCAGAAGACCTGGGTTCAATTCCCAGAACCCACATGGCGGCTACAAACCATCCTTTCCTCCAGTTCCAGCGGAATCTGAAGCCCTCTTCTGACCTCCATGGCATTGCATCACATGGGTGCACTCACATACATGCAGGCAATACACTCATACACATAAAATAAATATAATAAAATATTTTTAAAAATGAGCCGGGCATGGTGGTGCACACCTTTAATCCCAGCACTTGCGGGGCAGAGGCAGGCGGATCTTTGTGACTTCGAGGCCAACCTGGTCTACATAGTGAGTTCCAGGACAGCTGGGGCTACAAGGAGACCCTGTCTCAAAAAGACAAAAAAAAATTTTTTAAATGATTCCTTAAATTACCCATACATCATCAAGTCCCTGTAGTAGCAGAGGACAAAGCCTACTTGATTTATGGGAAGGAAAAATAAGTGAGTACTAGTAGACAGAATTTCCTTTATAACTTTGTTTTCACTTGAATTTTCACCAATTAAGAATGCAGATGCACTGTGACTTCTATAAATATTTTTGCTTTTTAAAATTATGAAGTATTTCAAGCACTGTAGTGCATTTTGAACATAAGAGCTTAAGTAAAAGTCAGATCTGTCTGTTAAATGGTTTGTCTAATTTGATCCTAGGCATACCATCTCCAACCACACTGTATGATAGATACAGTTCCCCAACAGTCAGTACTACCAGAAGGCGGCTATTTGAGAATGACAGTCCCTCTGATGGAGGGACACCGGGACGCATCCCTCCCCAGCCCCTAGTCAATGCTGTCCCTGTGCAGAATGTATCTGGGGAGGCTGTTTCTATGACACCAGTTCCTGGACAGACGCTGGTCACCATGGCAACAGCCACTGTCACAGCCAACAATGGACAAACAGTGACTATTCCCGTACAAGGTAAGGAAGAGAGTTGGATATTGAGTTCTCAGGCATTTATTGGAAAGTTACCTGGGATTTGGTTGGAGTGACAATATAAGCTAGAAGAGTGATGGTGAAGCAGAGAGGAAAGAGACGAAAACCTCATATGCCAACATTTTTTTTCTCCCCTTTATTATAAACTGTAGGTATTGCCAATGAAAATGGAGGGATAACATTCTTTCCAGTCCAAGTCAATGTTGGGGGCCAGGCACAAGCTGTGACTGGCTCTATCCAGCCCCTCAGTGCTCAAGCCCTGGCTGGAAGTCTGAGTTCTCAACAGGTGACAGGAACAGCTTTGCAAGTCCCTGGTCAGGTGGCCATTCAGCAGATTTCCCCAGGTGGACAACCGTACAAACAAGGACAGCCTTTAACCAGCAGCAGCATTAGACCCAGGAAGACCAGTTCTTTGGCACTTTTCTTTAGAAAGGTACTTTTTTTTCATTAAAATTTTTTTTATTGAATTTTTGTGCATTTCATACATCTTAACCATGTTTAGACCTCCCTCCCCTATCTGAAGCCCTGCTATGGCCCACCCCACCTAATTTTAATGCATTTTGTTATATATGTTAATGCCTGTCAGGTTTGTGTCCCCAGATATCCCTTGGTGTGAGTTCATCCACTGGAGCCTGGTCAACCTATCTAGTGTCACTCCCTTAAAAAAGACCAACTCTCTCCCTCACCCAGCAGCGATCAGCTGCCAAAAGTTCCTTGGCTAAGGTTGGGACCTCCTGACCATTTCCCTAGTTCTATGCAGGGTTGATTTGAGTTTTCATAGGTCTTGTGCATGCTGTCACCATTGTTGTAAGTACATGTGATCAAGTCCCCAAACAGCCTGGAATAGTCTCTTTCCTTGTGATCATCCACCATCCCTGGCTCTTAGAACCTTTCTGCCCCCTCTTCTGTAATGGTCCCTGAGCCCTGGGTGGGTGAGGTTTAATGTATGAGCCCTATCCAGGGACACACACTCTGCAGTCTGTTATTCTCTACACATTTGCCAGTTGTGGCCTTCTGTGTGCATTACATTCTGTTGCATGAGGAAGCTTTGCTGGTGAGAGTTGAGAGATGCCTTCATATTCTCTCTATCCCCTCTTCTGCTGTGTTCTGTGAGCCTTAGGTGTAGAGGTTCCACTGTACATATTTCACTTAGGCCCAGGCATTTCACAGACACTTGTTCTCTGTGTGTGACCAGTGTGAAACTCTGTAGTAGTCTCTATCTGTTGCAAAAAGAAGCTTCTTTGATAAGTGGTGACAGGTATACTTGTTTGTAAATATAAGGGTACATATTTACATATAGTAAGGAATTACCTTTATTTAGGGATGTGACAGATGCAGGGTTTTCTCTAGGATCTGTCTGGCCATGTGTATTTACCTATGTTTATAGTACCACAGAAGTTCCCTCCCATTGAGTGGGTCTTAAGTCCAATTAGCTAGCTGTTGATTACCCCCAGGATAAAAGTGCCGCTATTGCAACAATATTGTTTGCTGTGCTGGTCATTGTTAATGGTTATTAGGCTTTAAAGCTGGGGTTGGACTCTTGATTTTCACTCTTAGCAGCTTACATAGTAATTTTTCATGTATCTTTACTAAAGCACAAGTTTGGAGAAGTGTTAAGTTTTAAACAGAGTTTGAAGTATCCTTTTTTTATCTGTTAGGTTTACCATTTAGCAGGTGTCCGCCTTCGGGATCTTTGTGCAAAACTAGATATTTCAGATGAATTGAGGAAAAAAATTTGGACCTGCTTTGAATTCTCCATAATTCAGTGTCCTGAACTTATGATGGACAGACATCTGGACCAGTTGTTAATGTGTGCCATTTATGTGATGGCAAAGGTGAGTACCATTTGAGACGGAAAGGCACAGGTGCTGCTGTTACTCAGAATGGTTGTAGCAGGTTTACTGAGATAGCCATTTAAAATGTAGGAGTCACTGGGACTTACATTCCCACATATGTGCAGTCTTCAGTTTTAGAGTATTCCATTTTATAGATACTGGACATCATTTTTATCCATGAATGAATGACATTTGAGTTGTTTCTCTTCCTTGGTGATTATGAATTACACTGTTGTTAGCATCTGTATATGAGCTTTTGTGTAGATGTTTCCACTTTTCCACTGGTATATTCTAGACATATACCATAGGGTGTATGTCTAGAATAGATCCATGAGTCATTAAAACTGTATGTTTAAACATTTGAGGGTCTGCCATGCTACTTTGCAAAGTATGGTACCATTTTATATTCCTGCCTGCAAGATGTGAAGGTGTAATTCCTCTACTTTTTCATCAATAGTATCTTCATTTATTTTTTAAAGATTTAAAAAATTATGTGTGTGTTTCAGTAATGTGCATGTGAGTATAGTGCCTGAAGAGACCAGAAGATGGCACTAGATACCTTGGAGCTGGAGTCACAGGTGGTTGTGAGCACCCTCTGTATGCTGGTGTTGGGAACTGAGTCCTAGGTTCTCTGCAAGAGCAGCAAGTACTTTTAACCGCTGAACCATCTTTCCAGCCCCATAATTTTTTTTATAATACATGAGTGTATTGCCTGCAATACACCTGAAATACACTTATTTATGTAAGTGCACTGGTGTCATGCAATGTCCATGAAGGTCAGAAGAGGGCATCAGATCTAGAACTGAAGTTACAGATGGTTGTTAGTCACCATGTAGGTGCTGGGATTTGAACTCAGGTCCTCTGCAAGAGCAACCAGTGCTCTTAATCACTGAACCATCTCTCCAGCCCCAGCCCCATAATTATCTTCATTAAAAAAAAAAAAGTCAACTTATTAGCCAGGCTTGGTGGCCCATGCCTTTAATCCCAGCACTCAGGAAGCAGAGGCAGGCGGATCTCTGTGAGTTCGAGACCGGCCTGGTCTACATAATGAGTTCCAGGCCAGCTGGGGCTACAGTGAGACCCTGTCTCAAAAAGACCAAAACAAAAAAAAAAAGTCAAACTTATGATTATTGGTAAAGTTAACCATTTTGAAGTGTACAGTCTGGTGGCATTTAGTATAATCACAGTGTTGTCCAACTATCACTTCCATCTACCCCTCACCCATTAAGGAGTTTCTTCCCATTTATCTTCCCACATCCTCTGACAACCAGCATTTTTGTCTTGGCTCTCTGGATTTATGTGTTCTTGGCATTTCATGTAAATGAAAAAGTGACCTATTGTGTATGGCTTCTTTCACTTAGGATATTGTTTTTAAGATGTTCCATGTTATAGCATGTATCTGTACTTTTTTTTCATGGCTGATAGTGTACTGTATAGATATATCAGGTTGTTTCTTTTCATCCTCTGGACATTTGGGTATGAGCTTTTCACTACTGTAAGTAGTGCTGCTGTATTCTAAGAGTAACATTTTGTGGAACCACCCAAGTTTTACATTGTTACTAGTAATGCAGGTGTTTTCTTTCTCTGTAACTTTACCAATATTATTTTAGTTGTAGCCATACCAGTGGATGTTGAGTGGTATCTCATTATGAGATACCACTTGATTTGTATTTGCTTAATGACTAATAGATACTGCGTATCTTCTGTTGTGCCTTGTGGGCCTGTATCACTGGAGTTTCCATTTGCTTACTGACCACTTGTGTATCTTTTTTGGAAAAATGTTTTAATGCTTTTGGAAGAATTCTCTGTTTTCATTATTGTTGTTTTTTAATTTTAATTGTTTAAGATAGGGTCTTCCATAGCCCTAACAGGTCTGGAACTCACTATGTCGACTAGGCTAGCCTCAGTCTCATAGAGATCTGCCTGCCTCTGCCTCCCAAGTGCTGACATTAAAGGTATGTGCTGACATTAAAAGATGTGTGTGTGTGTACATGCGCGCATGTGTGCATGCAAGAGTGTGAATATATACCACATGTGTGTGCATGTTTGTGGAGTACAGAAGAGGATGTCAGATCTTCTGGAGTTGGAGTTGCAGGTGGTTGTGACCTGATTGGGTGCTGGAAGCTGAACTCTGATTCTCTGGAAGAGTAGCAAGTACTCTTAACTGTTGAACCACCTCTCCAGCTTGCCCCCTTTTTTCCCTTGTTTTTTTGAGACAGGGTCTCCCAGTACCCTCCATTGGCCTGGAACTCACTATGTAGACAGACCTGGCTGGCCCAGATTTGCCTCCCAACAAGTGCAGGGTTTAAAGGTGTGTGCCACCAAACTAAGCTTTTTTTCCCCTAAAGAGTCTTGACCAACTGTCTTACTATGTATGCAAGGCTGTCCTCTAACAATCCTTTAACCACAGTATCCTAAGTGCTGGAATAGCTGAAGGTGTTCACCACACCATTTCCTTGCCTTTTTTTGTTGTTGTTGTTGTTCTTTTTGTTTATTGAGACACTTTGTAGCGCTGGCTGGCCTGGAACTACGTAGATCAGACTGACTTTGAATTCACAGATTTTTACCTCTGCCTCCTGAGTGCTGGGATTAGAGGCATGTACCATCACATGCAGATCTTTGCACTTTTTTTTTTTTTTTGGTAGTTCTTTTTTCATTTTTTTTAATTTAAAAAAATTTTAATAACCACATGATTAGAAGAAGCATTTCATTACAGCTTTAACATATTCAGTAACACTCCAGAGCAAGGATCAACTCTTTCAAAAG